GGGTTGTTGTCTCTTCACCGTAGGGTGTGGGCCCCTTATCATGGAGGCGTGCACCAGGTCCTGTTGGAGGAGACGCACAAATCCTGGTTCTCCATTCATCCCAGAGCGACGAAGATGTATAGGGATCTTCATCTGGACTATTGGTGACCCTGTATGAAGTGGGATGTGGCATGGTTCGTGGAGCGGTGTTTGACCTGCGGGAAGGTCCATACCGAACATCAGAGACCACACGACAAGATGCAGTCGTTGGATATTCCGTTGTGGAAATGGGAAGACATCATAATGGATTTTATCACCAAGCTTCCCAGGATCGCGCGAGGAGTAGATTCGATCTGGGTCATCATCGATCGATTGACCAAGAGCGCCCACTTTATCCTGATTCAGGAGAGCATTTCGGCCGAGAAATTGGCCGAAATCTATATCAGGGAGGTGGTGCCGCAACATGGAGTGCCAGTCTCGGTGATATCGGATAGGGATGTGTGGTTCACTTCTAGGTTTTAGAAGAAATTCCACGATGACTTAGGTACTCGTCTGCATTTCAGCACCGCCTTTCACCCGCAGACGGATGGCCAGAGCGAGCGGACCATCCAGACACTGGAGGACATGTTGTGGGCATGTGATTTAGACTTCGGAGGTAGCTGGGATACCTACCTTCCGTTGGCGGAGTTCTTGTATAATAATAGCTATCATGCGAGTATCTACCATCCTCCCTTCGAGATGTTGTACGGGAGGAGGTGCAGGAGCCCAATACGTTGGGGCGAGGTTGGCTAGAGGGTCACGGGGAGCACCGAAGTAGTGCTCATGATGACAGAGAAAATTTAACAGGTCCGGAGCAGACTTCAGACTGCTCAAAGTCGCCAGAAAAGTTATGCTGATAGACGTCGATCAGACATGGAGTTCCAGGTCGGGGATATGGTTCTCCAAAAGGTGTCGCCTTGGAAAGGCGTCATCCGATTCAGGAAACGCGGCAAGTTGGGTCCCAGGTATATTGGACCGTTTAGGGGTGTAGCCCGGGTGGGCAAGGTGGCATATCGGCTGGATCTGCCAGCCGAACTCACTCAGATCCACAACACTTTCCACATCTCCCAGCTGCGGAAGTGCCTGGTGGACGACTCAACGGTGGTACCCTTGGAGGATATTCAGGTTGATTACAACCTTAATTACATCGAGCGGCCTGTAGAGATCCTTGACTGGAAGTCGAAGCATCTAAAGAACAAGAGGGTTGAGTTGGTAAAGGTGGAATGGCAACACCGGAAGGGCTCTGAATGGACATGGGAGCTGATGGAGGAGATGATGGAGCATTACCCAGAACTGTTCCAGGATCGAGCAGAAGACTTCGAGGACGAAGTCTAAAATAAGTAGGGGAGATTTGTAGCACCTGGTTCTTGGTACGTATTTTGTTATTAAATCTTTATTTCTTTTGCATTTTTGGTCTTGGACTCGGCAAGTTGAATGACCAACTCGTCGAGTAGAAGCGGGATGAGGCATGAAATTTAAGTCATGGACTCACCGAGTCGGGTCCCGGACTCAGCAAGTAGCTGCTGTTTGGACTAAAACCCTAATCCAGGGGTTTGCACCCTATTTAAGCAGCCTTATGCAACCTCCATTCCCCTTTTATGCTCCCAAACACTTCTCATAGCAAACCCTAGCCGTTCTAGAGAAAATCTAAGGCTTTTGAGTGATTTTTGTGAGTTTTGACCTCAAGGAAGAAGGAAGAGCATAGAAGGATCAAGAGGAGACTGAAGGATTCGAGTTTGGTTCATCATTTGTAGTCTACAGAAGGTATAAAGTCTGAACCTTGCTCATTCATTTGTTAGATCCCTCTTTGAGGTGATTTAGGGCTTTTATAAGCCATTTTTGGTGGCCAACCATGTTTGCAAACATAGTTGGGGGTTTGAGCTTCTGGATCATGTCATTATTGGAGTCACAAGACGGATTTGGGTTGCTTTTTCACCGAAGGAAGGCCCCATGCAACAAAAGGACCATTTTAGAGCCTTTTAAGCTCAAAAGTTCCACGCATGCACGTAAAGTTTGTAACAATACGTGGTAGATCGAGTTTAGGGGCTTGGATCTATCTTTTAGACAAGTGTTGTACATCAGAAATCAAAGTTTTAAAGAGGGGACGTGACCAACTCGACGAGTCGATTCTTGGACTCGGTGAGTCCAAGGGTTCTTTCCTATATCACCGAGGATTAAAAGGACCAGTTGAGTGTGGAAAGGTTTTAGGGAGTACCGGGGAGTGACCCAACATTCTGGACTAAGGAAATTGTTCCGAAAATTCATGGTACTCGGGGAGTACATGAACGGACTCGGAGAGTCCAAGGCAATCTCCTTAGAACTTGACGAGTTGTTCATCAACTCGGCGAGTTGAGGACGGATGTGGTTCATAAGATGAAGGCCAACTCGATGAGTTGTTCATCAACTTAGCGAGTCGGATGAGTTTTCATGGGCATTCAAATGAGAGAAGAACTCGTTGAGTTGACGACCCAACTCGACGAGTAGGGTCGCGGATGAGGACGAGTAGATAGTGAGGGACTTGGTGAGTTATTGTCCCAACTCGGTGGAAGTTGACTTTGACTTGACTTTGTTGGGGGTAAAATGGTCATTTTACCCCAAGAGTATATAAATCATTTTCTAACCAAGTATTTGTGGGGTTTGTAGCCAGAGGATTTCCGGAGCAGCAGCGGACGGAGGTTTCCCGCACTGATTATCAGCCGCTACCTGTATAAGGTGAGTTACCTTCCAGTAGGGGTGGCTCTAAGGCCACAATACCGGCCCACCAATAAGGAGTATTTAGAAGATGATTGTCTTTGTGATAATTATCTTGGTCTTGTATGTGATTGGTTATGAGTTATATCTATATGATATGTTACGTGCATGATACGGATAGTGGTCTTTAGAACTAAGGGGTAGATCAGTACCCGGATATGCCTGACTGTATGCTTATATCTTGTTATTGTATGCTAGTGGTAAGGGGTGGAATAGTCCCCAGTTACCGGTTGAAAGATACCGATGATGATTACCGGTTGAAAGATACCGATGACGATTACCGGTTGAAAGATACCGATGATGATTACCAGTTGAAAGATACCGATGGTATTATATGGTATGTGGTATGATAGGGGAACTCACTAATCTTTGTGCTTACGGTTTCAGTTTTTGGTTTCAGGTACCGCTTCGTCTAAGGGGAATGAGCCAGCGGCGTAGCATGGCATCACACACACATCTGATTTTCCGCACGGTGTTTTTTGGGATTGTACTCTGATATGATATTTGTTTATGTTGTGGTTTTTCAAACATGATACTTGATTTTATTAGATGATGTGTTTATACAATATTTCCTAGTCAATGTTTTATGAGTAAATTAATTAAAAATGAAATTTTTGGACTTGAATTTTGGGACGTGACACGACCGACCTTGGTCAACCCGGTTGACCAGAAAGTAAAGGGAGAGGCTAAGTCTGAGGTTGTCCCATGTACCCTTCCCAAAGAGTCCATATGTTTCTATTTCCAAAGGAAGGGGCATTGGTTGCAACGCTTCCCTAACTACCTGAAAGATCTGAGAGATGGTAAGAATAAAAAAGTTTGACTCTGCTTTAGGTAAGTCCACTATCTAACTCTGTTAATTTCCTAATTGATGATTCTTAATACATGATGTGACTAGGTTGCATTTTGTGTGGCAGGATCAAGCAAAGGGAAGGAAGCTTAAAAGAAGAGTATGTTGAATCTGATCACGAAGATGGATTTCAATCGCATGGTTCGAAGATCGGATTCTTGAGCTGCTAGTTAGGAGTTATGATAAATTGCAAGGAAATATGCAATACCATAGTTTTCATTCAAAGTTGCACTGTAAGGAAAAAGATTTTTTCCGCATTTTATAAATAAATAAAATTTTGTTTTACTTTATGTTATATCTCCTTGCAATGGCATTTATGGAAAATTGATGTTTGTATGTTTCTAGCAATATTGGTAATATGAATTTGATTCTTTCATTTGTGGTAGTGTCTAAATTAACCAAATAAGGAAAGATTTTCATCACCCAAGTTTTAATTGGACGAAACTTTGAATCATGCAAGTTATATTGTATGATGAATGAGAATTTTCATCTTTGGAAAATTAAGACTAATTCCTTGTTCACATGTATATGTGAGTCAAGTGAAGGACTAAGGGATCGAGTACACATTCTTGTCCACTAAAAAGATCGGTAAGAGTATTCGTCATGATTTACAAAAGTTTGGTAAA